CCCTAGTGTTTGAACCCAGGACCTTCTGGTTACAAGGCGAGCTCGTAGACCATTAAGCCACCGGGTACCCTATCCAATGTTCCATGAATTCCAGCTTCTGCCAATTGACGAAATAGCGTGACCACTAGTCAGTGTCTTCGGCGAGTATTTGTCCTCACACCCAACCTGCTACATCCTAGTAGTCACGGCAATGGCTAGCGGTCACACTATATCGTGAATTGCAAGAAGTTAGAATACATAGGCTGGCCATCGGATCGGGTCCCAGTGGCTTAATGGTCTACGGCCCGCCTTGTAACCAGAAGGTCCTAGGTTCGAACCCCGGTGGGTGAGTACTGATGAAGAATTTCAAACTAGGACGAAACAACTGTTCACTACTTCTTGCAGGTTTTCCAATGGTTCTCTAACCAATGTCGATTTATGATGAAATCCTCTAACACATACTTGAAATTTTTGAATGTTGTTCTGATATTAGACTTTTTCTACAGAAGCTGGAAGTCTGTGTTTACCTAGGCTTTACATTTCAGTTATTTTTTTCAGGCATTTAAATATATTTTTTGCCACCTCTCCGTGCTAGACATGGCTATTCCCCACCACAGACACACATGTAAATAGGTATGTAGTATACCATGATCATTTGTGCAGTGCTGAGGTTTACAGCAGAGTATGTTTCTGACCCTTTCGATGATAATTAACCTATCTGCATAGTAAGTTTTACGGATGATGGGATTTAGTCCCTGTCTTAAAATCCTGTTATATATTTCCGCTTTGAAAAGTAGTTTGCTGTATATGGCTTTCTTTGTGACACAGTAGACTATAGGCCTTGAAACTAACTTACCTCTAAATCGGTTCAGAAACTTCAAAGAATATCTGCTTTTGAGAGGTGTATCCGTCAATATTTTATTCCCATCATCTATATCAACAGATGTACAAATAGACTGAATCAACTTAGATTATAAGATTGGTGATACCAATACTCACCCCATCGTTTCAACGACGTTTTACCAAGACGAGGTCATATACCATGGTGAGCCACCCATGGAATCAAAAAATTAAAGCTACTAGTTAATATGCAACAGTGAATTTATTTTTATACTCCAGCGTTCAGCCAGTCCAGATAATTCAATTAAGTCATTCACTAGTTCTTACATATCTTTATTATGATGATTAACATCCCAAGCTGCAAAGTAGCTAACAAATAGCACGGAGGATTTAGTTGAACTTAGTAGTTCATTATCAGAGAGAAGAGGAAAAGTCATTCTTGAGCGATGGTTTCAAGAACCTCTCCCACCAAATCACCCAGTCATGCACATCATCCTTTAATCACATGTGCATACTGATATATACGCCAAAACCATCATCGTTCCTTAGTATTCCCAAAGCAAGCAGTTCACTGTTCGTAGCTTCTACCCACTGTTCTGGGGTCACTGGTAAATTCGTTAAGGATTACCTTTGAGGATGAAACCCACGTTTTTGTCATGTCCGAACGCCACTTGTGTTCTTATGACTAATTATTTTGCCCCTCATAGGGTAATATTCAGAATCTACTCGTCTATTTTTTGTTTTTAATATGGATCAAACTGCGAGAATTTTCCATCCCGTAGACAAACACACCTATAGGAGGGACATATCAGACGTCTTTGTAAGCTAATCAAAAATTATATCAGCTGAATCTGACACTAATTGAATAGCTTACCTGAATTTAGATTGTTAAATAGTCTAAAAGTTACTTTATCATCCAAGAAAACCTTATTGATTTGGTGAAGATCAATCTTGATAGCAGTTGACCTTTGTGTGTTAGTCTCAGCTGAAAACAATTCCAAGCTAACTATGAGGTTTTCGGTCTTTCCTGTGTCTGCTTATATTGAAACATACAAGTTTGCATTCACAAGTACAGTAGGTATTCAATCATACTTTCTTCTGTTGCAGCTTATAGGGAACTATAGTCTTTTATGAAAGACTGTATAACTACAAAAGCACTAATTCAGTTTGAACATTATAAATACGCTTCAGACTAAATGAGAAAGTCTATACAGTCATTCCTGGGAGTGTATTACTGAAGTAAAATGGCAACCAATACGTATGTAAACGTACACTTGACACGCAGAGCTAACCATCATTCAAGTGAAAATTAATCCCACAAATGAATTAACTGATGTTTAGTCATTGCTAAGGTTCGTAAATTCAACACAGCAAATCAAAGACAGAAAATCATTTTCGTACACTATTCAATAACGTATAGTAATAAATATTGTGCACTAAGAATTGCGTAACTTGAAAATGCTTTGATTTTTCTTGATACAAGTATAGCTTAAGTCTTCTAGCTTGCCAATTAGAAGTTTGCAATCGTATATCCAGTCTCAAAGGATATTAAAACTGTTATCATAAAGTAAATGGGCTTATAATAAAGGTTTTTTGTATTTCCCAATGAATGAAAAACACAATGATTTTGTTTCTAGTGACGTTTCGCCATTTATTACTAATAGCTTTATGTGAGTATTATAAAAGACCAAATCCCTAAAGATTCTCTGTGCACCGGTGGCACAGAGGTTAGGACTCTCGCCGATCATGCACATGGTCCGAGGTTCAATCCCCTGCCGACCCACACCTGATATCAATGGTCCGCCTGCAAAATTTCGGCTACCGACTTTCATGCTGAAAATTCCATACTTGTACTAAAAATACGGTGTGGAATCAAGCTGTAATCAAAAATAAAAATAAAAAAATCTAATTGTGCGTATAAAATAAAATGTTTGGAATGTGATGCGGTATCCATCGGACAAACATCTCAAGAAACCAAAATTAGAAGAATTGAACACCGTAGAGCATCTATTCGACCACCGAGAAATCGAGTTAGTGAACTAGACAAGCTTGAAAATTATCAGTCATAGGTCTACGCACAGTAGGATCAGGTCACAAAATTGATTTTGACGATATTGAAATAATTCAAAAAACTTCAGAAATCACAAAGAACGTCTAATATCAGAAGCACTTCATATCAAGTGGAACCCAAATTGCCTGAATAGGAATAATGGACTTAAACAAAATTTGACCTGGTTACAACACCCCCGCCCCATGAATTGCCAAAATCAACACAAACGTGATAAGCAATTTCGTTAGGTAAACACACGCTGCTTTTATAATTTTACACATTTATCAAATCCAACAATCTACACCTGGTTTTGTTATCTTTACCAATAGGCCAATTTGACAAAGCAAAAATAACCCCATACTAACGAACGATGACAAAGTTGTTGCATATAAACTGAGATTTTGTAAATTCTGCTTTAATAATACTCTGATAAAGTTGTTACCATTAAATAGCGAAACGTCAGTAAAAACAACAATATCGTTTTGTCTCTCATTCATTGGGAAACACAAAAAAGCTTCCTTACAATCAACATCATATACCCGATGTCCAAATTTTTTCACTGTTAAACGTGAACTTGGTTTGGACATATATAAAATGGGTTTATATATATATATATATATATATATATGAGATAGCCTTAAATTGGTGTCATCGGTGTTGACAAAAGACAAAATGAAAACCTGAGTCACTAATGGGAGCCCCACAGTCATACAGTATATCTTATTTGGATGCTTATGTATCTAATGCAGAATGATAGTTGACGTTTCATTTTTAACCGCATATGGAAGAAAGCTGTTGCATGACCGAAAATACTAAAAACTACATCTTTGTAACTAATTTCTCAGAGCAAAATGTTAGAGAAGAGTCTTATCAATATGAGAGTAACAAAAATTAATTCTACATTGAAGTGATAAGTTATTAATCCCTACCACCTTTTTGACTGGAAGTCAGTTAATCAACCAATTTGCATAATTTGATGACTAAACTATCTCAGTCTTTTTTTTAATTAATTATTACATGGTTTATTTATTTGTATTAAATATATTACCCCAATAATTAAGTGTTTATCAAAGTTTCTTTCAATTGCCTAAGTGTATCTTATACAGCATTGTGGGGAATACAAATTACTGTTATAGGAAGACACGACCACAATCTACTGTATATATATATATACGCATATACACCATAGTATCCTTGTTTATTATGTCTTGTGACAAATAATAACAATAAACTTAACTTGGATAACTAAAAAGATATTAAAGATGGATAATTTATTATTATTATTATTATTATTATTACAATAAAATATTATTTATTACATCTTTTAGTGACTCATTTTAAGGCAAATGTTATGCCTTAAGAAAACTGAGATTTAGTCATAACTAATCAAATACTAAGGAGAGAGGAAATATATATCAAGCAAAATCTTACCTATCTATAGGAGTAGTTATCTGATTTAACAGTCATAATAAACTAGTAAATTAAATTACTTTCATGATTATTTAAATTTAGTAAATTATGAAGTAGAATAGTTACATTTCGTTTTTCGTGATAAACAGATAATCAGTATGTTTATGACGGTCAGTAGATATTTATCAACTAATTTATCGTTTCTTTTTGTCAATGTATGTATGAATGTAGACAACAGTAGATTGTTTGGAGTACTACTTTGATTGAACACTAGGTGGTAGGTTATGATTTGAGTTTTTTGTCTGCTGTAGACTGAATTCTATCAGTCAAGTTTGCAATATGGCCGTTATACTAGGTGGCTCACTGTGAATTATTGGTATTAGACGGTTGGATGAAAATGTCAGGAATCTTTGGACCTACGTCTCTTGCTTGTTGGGACTCGCTGGTAAGGCTCATCTTCAATTTTGAAGGAACTCAGGAGGTCAGCCTGCATAGCTCAGTGGTAATGTCTCTGACTGCAGTATTGGGTAGCACGGGCTTGAATCTCGGGGAAACATGGGTTCCCTCAAGACTGTAGGGTGCTAAAAAGCAGGAAACCCTGGTCCCAAGATTCCTACTAACTGCCTCCATCCGCCTAATAACAACAGTTTTCTATACTGTCAAGTATACATAGCCCGACTATAATCTTTCTTTCTTCTTCTGTTTTCTGTTTACAATTTAGAAAATCTGTCTATCCTCGTCATAGTGAAACAATGTGGAATTTAGTTAATAAAGCAGCTATCCAGAATGCTGCTCATGAACGAGCTGAAGCAGAAGATTTACGTTTACAAACATGGCAAAAAATTCAACAAGCTAACAGACAAACTAGAAATCGACAAGCTGAAGTAACAAATAAACTACGTAAGATTATTTCAATTAACTTTATCAGTGTAAGGTACTTTAATGACATCTACTACAAACTCAAGACTTCATAATTACAGTGACTTAGCTTTGGAAACATTTGTTTCTGACAAATACTGTTCTAAAGCAACTTTTAAATTTATCCATACGAAAGACAAGTATTATCTTTAGAGCATATATTCGGGATTCTGTTAAACACTTTTTAGACATCTTCGTAATAAAATTATATTGCGAGTTGCCATCACTTATGACAACCGAAGATTCACATAGCATCTTCAAGAGGGATTAGATTAGTTTCAAATTTGATCACGAGCTGATATCATTTAGAGAACTACTGAAAACCAACAGGGAATGCTGAACATCTGTTTCGTAATAGTTTAGGACTCTTCAGCAGTAAACACCTACCAGGGTCCGAACCCATGACCTTCTACCGACTCGTAATTTTAGCACGACCACCAGCCAATGTCACTGATGAGTACATATCCTCAGGCCTTACAGTAGTCAGAAGCGTAAACATATTCTGTGGAAACCGACTTTTAAAAATAATTGAGAACAGGTCATAGAAAACATTGAATCTGTTGACTTTTAACTTCAAATTAATTTATGAAGAAAACACTAACGTGTTAGGTGGCTGAAAGTGATCGTCGGGAAGCCTTGGATCCTGACTTTGAGCGTAGAATATGTCTCAATCATTCAAACTAACAAACTCATTAGATAGATGACTTTCATCCATTACTTCAAATTTTACAGCTAACTTTGTATCTCAAGAGAAAGATATTATAAGACCAACAGTTATCCCACTATTCAATCTACTCGATATTACTGACCACTATAACATTTTCATTTTAGGATTACAAAATCATGCAAGTGGTTAACATAAAAGATGGTAGGAAATACTAAAAGTTCGTGGAAAATATCCATATGGACATTAGAAAGAAGAGAACACGAAGTTCAGCAAAGATATCTTTTCGGCGATTTCACTCTCAAAACCAGCTGTACAATCGCATTTATATACATTATTTTACATGGATACAATTATTATTTGTTTAATTCCACATAGTAACGAAGGTGATAGTAATTTTCAACTTGATATGAAAGTTTGAAGGTGTGAATATAGATTACAAGGGGCTTAGAGACAAGATTGCATAGGATTAGAAAACAGTTAGAACGTATGCAAAATTAATATTTGATAAATCGAGAAATAATTTTAAAGAAGAATAAAAGGTGACATTTATTTTCAACCTGATATGACTTACAAGAGGCTTAGAAACGCAGGGACAGAACGAATTACAAGTGTGAACAAAATGAGCATAGAAACAAATTGAAATCAAAATTTTTCAATTTGAAATGTTAGTTAGGAGGTAGGAATATATTTTTCAAGAGGCATAGAAACAAAAAATTACACAGGATTAGAATATAATTGTAAAATGGTTATTCTAAACAGATTACAAGTGTGATCAGGAGGAGCATAGAAAAAAAATTAAAATAACTTGTTTTTATAACTGAAAATTTGGAATAATTTGAGTCTAAAATGAAAATTAGGAGGTGTGAATATAGATTACAAAAGCCTTAGAAACACAAAAATTGTACAGGATTAAGATATAATTGTAAAATAGTTATTTCAAAAGAATTATAAATGTCAACAGGAAAAGCATGGAAACAAACTTAAAATAACTGTTTTTATAACTGAAAAAAATTAGGTGGATCTAATGAAGACTGAGGAACTAAGGATCAGACACACAGTGAACGAAAAAATGCTCTGAAGGAAAAGCGAGAACGGAAAAAGACGAAGAAGAAAAAAACGGAAGCAGAGGGAACATACCAAACTAATCCATGGTAGTTGTAGAGGTTGGATTAATTTCTTTTGAACACACAGCTCCGGCTTCTTGATGCATATTGCGAGAGCTTTTGCAGTACAAAGAAGTCGGAAACATACTGCCTTTGCTAGGTTTCTGTTGACTTTGTAAATCACTTTGAAAGAATCAGTTGAGATGTTGTGGGAGGTGTACAGCTTTTGAGAATGAAATAGCCGAAAAGATATCTTTGCTGAACTTCGTGTTCTCTTCTTTCTAATACTAAAAGTTTCAAAAGTGGAATATGTGAATAGCTTAATTTCATTTTGAATTATTTAACCTTTATATAGGAGGACTGTAATGATGTGAAAAGCATCAGAAAGATTTTTACTGTAATGGATTTTATGTAACTGGTGTTTCTCTTAATTAAGTCTTTTAACAGCCGAACGCAACATAATTTTATTCAATTTAATGTGTTATCGTTATTCAATTAAAGAGTGGTTATTTCAGTAGTGTAGCTAGGATCTGTAGTCTTCAATATCAACAGTAAACGTAAGTTAATTATATTCACTTCCTAGAGGTTTTCAGCTACTAGTGAGAAATTATTTTCAAAGTGTCTTGCATAAAAAGAGATTTAAACCCAAATTATTTATTATATTAGACATTACCTCTATAGACCGATCGATTTTTATGGCCAATAAACCTTTTTCTATATGTTTTTCAAACTCTCAATAGAGACTTCCATCCAACAAATTGATAATATTTACGGTGATTTAGTTTGCAGATAGATAACGTTAACAACCCGGAAACAAATTAGAGAAGTAATGAAGATCATGAGGCACTGGAAAGATGATTTCATCATGGCTTTGAACTCTACAGCAGTGCTTACTTGTGACCCCAATAAAAGTCGAAATCCAGAACCACTGAGTTACGAAATAAGCACGTTTATCACTGTATTGGTACTCAACAGCCCATGATCTCTTACTTTCGCATATCCAAAGTTCATATCCATTGTTATACAATGTTGTATGAGTCTAAGTCTTCACACTCAAATTGTCGAATCTTTACGATCACGATTACTCATTAGAAATCCTGAAAATCTATCTCAGAGCTGATATTTTATGAAAAGATCCTGGCTGCACACTGCCCTGGACAAGGGTTTTCTAGAGGTTGACACTAAGCAGAGAGAGACAGGTTATTAACTTTCAAGAATTTCGTATTATCATAAAGAATCGACAGCATGTAACTCACTTGTTAGTAAGCCATTCACATCATCGTTGGCTGCTTGCTAGACTGAACTGTGTATGAAAACAATCAGCAGATGGCTACCCAAAAAGGCAACACTTCTAAGTTTTAGTCAAAATACTTTGACTCCATCTCCTAGGAATACTTTTGTTCTTCACGTTTCATTTCAACAACTGAATGTAATCATTTAAAATTTTGGAATAAAAATGGGTCTTTAGGGAATAATTAACATAATACGTCCAAAGACTTGATATCTCTGTTTTCTCTGAATTGCCTTCAACAGTGTTCAGCACCATCAAATAGTCTATATTTTTCTACATCTAAAGATGATAAGGATACTGTGGTTACTTTCAGCATAATAGTAATAAACATTATTATGATTAATATTTTATTTAGGTGAAAGAGTGGAGGAAATAAGTCACTGGAAAAATGCATTAAACACTGAAATTCATTTGAATGATCAAGAACAAGAAAGATTAAAAGTGAGTGATTGTTTATTTCACTGTAGTTTACTGGACAAACTCCAATTTCTCCTGAATTAATGAGTTGATCTGTAAGGATGTGATTTGTTTTTTCGAGTTAGACCACGGATTGATATCAGTTAGAGAACCATTGAAAATTAGTCTGATGCTCACTAGTGACTTGCTACAAGATGGAATTTCCTGGAGTTCTAGTGAGAAGTCATAACCAGTGAGCTCCATCCAATCGGGAGTGAAGATAAATTTCCCACTGATGGTACTAGTTGATGGTCGAGCTGAAAAATCATGAATTGGTAGAATTTAGAATTCATGGACCATTGAGTCGAGTCCCAGTGGCTGAATGGTCGTCAACGAGCTTGCCTTGTAACCGAAAGGTCCTGAATTAAAACCATGGTAGTGGGTCCGTACTGTCAATGCGTCAGAAACTTTGACGAAACAGCTTTTCAGTACTCCGTGGTTTTTAATGGTTCTCTAACTGATATCAATTCGTGGTCTAACTCAAAAAAAAACAGTGAATTTTATTTATCAATAAAAAACTTTAAAAAGAAACTCGTTAATTTAAGGTAAAGACAATCTTATATATTTCAAGAGGAATTAATGTCGTTTATCATATTTTAAAGTCACTGAGTACTAAGGAAAGTGTAACTCAATAATCTAGAATTCTCCAGAATACTTCTTCAACAGTAACCTCAGTCAAACTGAAAACATTCAGTTGATCACTGAAACAGGCCACCAAGCTTAATTCTAACTTTTGTATTTTTCTACGTTACTACCACATTATAAGTCTAAGTGATTTTTACATACACACCCATAAGTGACCCTTACTTTCACAAAAAAAAACAAAATAAGTTCTTATATAATAATTTCTTTGCTTTTAGAAGTTTCTTCAAATAAACCTACTAAGAAGAGAAGCCTTAATCATAGAAAACTCCTATTCCCTTTAAAATTCTTCCTTATTGTTTTTCTCCGGAGAATCAGCCAATTTCAGAAGCAGATACGAGCGCAGTATCCACCAGTTAATGTCGCCTAATGGAATACACCTGATAGCTAAATAAGCGGAGTCAGTTTTGTCTGTTTAGTTTGTGATGAATCAGTAATATAAACATAACTTCGGAAAGGATGGAAAGAGGGTTTACCAGATCCTGTCGTATCCAGACACCAATATTAAAAATTTTACTAACATAAGTTAGACCAGAAGTGATAGAACTCGTCACCTAGACCTATCACAACTGGATTTAATCTCCCATAGGGTTATGGATGTGAATTGCTCAAAACTCATTAATAATTCATTGCTCCTTGATTTTGAATTGCCTCCTGTCTTATTTTGGCCAATAATGAAATTCGCCTTCATCAAATTGATTCAACCTCCATAAACTCAATGATCATAGTCACTAAAGTAATCGATTTAATTTTTCATTAGTGGTCTTACTATTCTACATTTACTCTGTATTTCTCTATTTCTCTCTCTCTCTCTCTCTCTGTTTATTTCTTTCCAAAATTTCCGTTGTAACAGTAAACAATATAACCTTAAGGCAATAATGACCTTTCATTTAACATGTTACTGTTGTATATATATTAAGCTAATAACTTTCCACTCAGTTTCCTAATTCATTTTTATTAGCGACCTTCTTGTTATATTCAAAATATACCTCTAACCTACTTAAACATTATGTCAGGTAAAAAGGTAGATTTATAAAAATGAAATAAAAAGAAATATTATCATTATTTAAAAGCAGGTTGAAGTCTACTACTTTTTCCTGTTTTTTCCTCTCCTACTGATACTCTGTCCCGTTTGCTTTCTATTCTTTCTAATATTTTCAAACCTTATTTTATTACTGATAACATTTTTCATCAGTATACTCACTATTGCTATTTTTTTGTAATGAACAGAATAGGGATGATGTAAGGGCAAGACTGTCTTTTAATAATATTCTTTTTTTGGAAGTCTAGAAACATACACAGACAGAACGAACTGGTTCACGTTTGAAAGCAAATAGTATTATAATATGTTACACCAGTTTCTGCTTTTATTTTATCTGATAATAAGTGAGACAAAATAAGATTATTGGGATGACTTGATCAGTTGTATCATTTATTTCTTAAATGATTCAATTTGTTTGTTCAATGAATGTTCAATTTGTTTAACTTTTCACAGATATTAATCAGGTTTCAGAAAGTATTTAGTTTGCAGTTTATTACTACTATTATTATTTGTTTATTCCTTTACGATGTCCTTTGAACATAGGGCTTCAGGCTTGAAGTTTCAGTAGCAGTGGTGTTTATCTTCCCTCTTTACCGGTTTTATTACAGGCTAAGTGAGGTAAAGGAGTGCGTCGATGGTCGTTGATCGAATCTCGAACTACATTCGTTGTCGGCGAGCATTCTACTGCTGTACCACCGACGCACAGATTATTAGTGATCTTATCTTTAACAGAATGGTTTGTTGAAAACTATGTATTCAGTTAGTTATTTTAACATGTAACACAGCAATTTAAAGGGCGAATTCCCGCATACAACCACTTCACTGTGCTCCTGTGCAGCTAGATACCTAGGTGGTTCTATGCACTTCCTTTAAAAATGTGTTAGAGAAAACTGCCCGGCACAGCTACAAAGAGACAGGACTGATTAAGTTGGAGGCGCTACAATTCACTACCTTGTCAGCGTCTGTCACAACATCTCAACAGACTTATTATTTAGAGTTATTTACAAAGTGAACGGTAATCCACCAAAGATAATGTTTTCCCGACTTTTTTTTTACTTCAAAAGCCTTTATTATATGCATCCAGAAGCAGTAGTTATGTGTTCAATAGAAACTAGTCCAAACTCAACTTTTACCATGGATCTAGTTCTGCTCGGCTTCTAACTTGTCATTATTTATTCTTCATTACGTTCATTTTGTTTGCCTTTGATTATAAAAACTATTATTTTAGTTTCTTTATATACAAATCCTGTCTACACGTGTTTTCGTTAAAAAGTAGTTTACATATTATATCAATATTTTTTACAATCTTATGTACCTTGTGATATCGATTCATCTTTCATCATACCTTCAAACTTGTATATCAAGTTGAAAATTGTTGGTTTCTTTAATTCCCCCTTCGTTACTATGTTGGTTTAAATAATAATTGTACCTATGTGAAATTATGCATGAAAATGCTACTGCATAGCTTTTAAGGATGAGACCACTGAAAAGATATCTTTTCTGAGCTTCTTGTCCTTTTCTCTACAATGTTACAACTGTTATTCGGTGGCACAGTGGTTAGGACTCTCGCCGACCATGCACATGGTCCGGGGTTCGAGCCCACGCCGGCGCACACCTGATATCTATGGTCGGCCTGCAAAATTTGGGCTACCGATATCCATGCTGAAAATTCCATACTTGTACCAAAAATAAGGTGTGGAATCAAGCTGTAAATCAAAAATATAAAAAAAAAATATGATTATACAGTTAACAACAATTCACCAAACAAAATCTATCATATTAGATGGCTGGAGGCAGTCGACAGAAAGCCTTGCTTGACCTAGGTTTCGTGCTAGTTGATACTCACCAGTTATCAAAAAGGGCAGCCTGCTTAAATTATTGGGATACCGAAATTACTTTCCTCCAAAATGCTTAATTTCATCTGGATTTATCATTGTCTTAATCGTCCAGTTATATCAAATGACCTATACATAAACTTGCGCGATGGTTTAACTTGCTCCCAAGTAAACGCTGTACAATTCTTCAACGAAATGAAGATATACTTCAGATTATTACTTTATATGTGAATCCTGTGTGAAGAAAAAAGTACTTTGGAACTGATTACGCTGAAAATTTTTGTACCGTTTATTCGCATATTGTCTTAAATAAAGCTTTACCATTATTATTATTATTATCAAGTAGTTTCTGAAATCTTGAAGAAACTCATGTTCCTATTGAGTTTCGAAACCGTGTCACTCAGTGTGTTCTGCAGTCACAGAGGTTACCACTGAGCTACTCGGGTTCGCGATCGACCTCCTGTAGGACTGTTTTGGATATTTTTGATTGACCACCAGTCAGTAACTGGTGTAATATCATAAGGGACATGAGTTCCTTCAAGGTTACAGATACGCCTTGACGACTGGTGAGTGTCAACTGGCACGAAACCTAGGTCGGACAAGGGCTTCTGCCGACTGCCTCCAACTATCTAATATCATCGTATCATGTGCACCGTGATAGCGAGCTACCTAGAATAGTGGCCATATTGCAAATCTGACTGATAGAATTCAGTCTGCATTAAAGAAAGGACTAGACACATCGCTTCAGTTACTAGTGTTCAATCAAAAAATCTATCAACTTTTTTCTTCCTTGCCATTCTTTCGATAGTTCTGATGACTTTCTAATTAATTTTGACTGTTCAATGTTGCAAACATGTTTAGACCTAATAAGACTATCCAGTTTCTCAATTGATGGTCTTCACTTGCATAAATGTTCCTAGAAAACTCTGGTGAAGAACACCAATATTTCAGTACATAAGATTTCATTAAAATGACAAATACTCCATCACAATTATTCTTTTAGATGGTATTTGTTTGAAGCAGAGCTTCCAACAGCAATATTCTTCCCTAAATATTCAATGGACTATGAAACTTACAAAATGTTGCTAAAATTTTTATGTGACAATAAGGAATTTGATAATCACTACTAAGCGACAAATTATTTTACGTCGTTTCGAATATAGACTAGGAATGGTCAAACCAAAAGCCTTTGACAATTTCTTTTGAGCCACACAGAGATATGTAGACTGCCTAGTTGAGGCGTTTGAGGTGCTAAGAACCAGCGACAAGAGATTATGGGTGATTTGGCTGAAAAATCGTTGTCAGTGTCACCGATACATCTCCACTCCTTGCGGTCGCTCATAATCCTTTTCCATAGCACAACCATTTCTTTCCCACATTTCCTCTTTTGAATCTCCTTTTTCTCTACTATGTGTGCTACATGGAGTATGACAACTTGATCCACTACGATTTTATGCAGAATTCCA